GCCCAAAAGTAGGCACTTCACCACATCCAGCCAGCTCCTCTGGGGCTCTGAAAGTCTGTCCTACTGGTTTTACCTCCGCTTCACCTACCTTCGTCCTCCTCAATACAGGGCCTATTGTGAAGTCCCAAGCCTTTGGGAACTGAGACTCTGTGTTGGGGTAAGCACCTGTGCTACAGGCAGCTGGCATGCCCTCCTCAGTTGCCTGGCTTCCTAATCAGTCACCCGTGGCTCTCTGCCCTTACCCACACTCACCAATTGGCCTCATCCCAGTTGCTGCCAATGTACTGTGCCTGGATTTGGAATATTACAGTGCTACCTCCTGGAGTTCAGTGATGCGAGCATGTATCCCCTCCTCCTGGACCTGCTACCTCCGTATCCTAGCTGTGACATGTCCCCAGAGTGTTTTGTCCATCAGTCTCAGGATCCGGCCCTGACTCTGAAAGAATTGTCCTCCCTCCTCCTTTAGTTCTTGGGACTCAGCAAATGCCCTCAGTGGCTTCCTCTGTGTCCCCGCCCCACCTTCCACTGCTGATTTTCTCCCCTTCCTCCCTCTGCAAGATGACAATCTGATGACTGCCACTGTTTCCCACTAAGCAGGAAGCTTTTGCTGACTGGCTTGAGATCCACTGTGAGCATCCTTAGAAGAGGCAATCGTGTAATTCCTGTTTATATCTCTCTCTTATTTCTTTATCTTAATTAAGGTGAGTCTGGATATCCTAGAGACTTGTGCGGTGTTCTTCAGACCTCAGCGGATCCTAACCAGAAAGGATTAGACTGAAAAGTAGCATAGAAATTATATTTGAAGCAAGACAAAAGAAGAGATCAGGATGCACTGTAAGACAGCAGTAGACCAGAAGAGTGGAGATACTCAAGAGCCCAGACTGTTCATTTTTGACATAAAGTCTCAGTGCCACAAGCTGGCCTAGAAATCACTATGTGGGCTGGCTTTGAAATACTGATCTTCCAAGGAGCCAAGTCATGGTGACATATGCCTTTAATCCCAGCACTTGGGAGGCAGAGGCAGGTGAATCTCTGTGAGTTCAAAACTAGCCTGGTCTACAGAGTAAGTTTCAGGACAGCCAGAGCTACATAGAGAAACCTTGTCTTGAAAATCCAAAATGAAGGGAGGGAGGGGGGGAGAGAAGGAAAGAAGGAAGGAAAAATGCAGACCAAAGTTTCTGTCCTGCCTGGTCCTACAGCCATTCAGTCCCAAATTAACACACAGAGATTATATTAATTATAAACTGTTTGACTTAATGTTCAGGCTTATTACTAACTAGATCTTACAACTTAAATCAACCCATAATTCTTATCCATGTTTAACCATGTGGTTTGGTGCCTTTTCTCAGTGAGGCATTCTCATCTTGCTTCCTCTCCATCTAGCTGAAGACTGTGTTTCTGCCTTTCCTTTCCTCTTCCCAGAATTCTCCTAGTCTGGTTGCCCCCCTCCACCCCCGCCTGACTACTGGCCAATCATCATTTTATTAAACCAAAATATGAGTTAAAAATCCTTACAGTGTACAACAAGAACACTATCCCACAGCAGAAAAACTGAAACACTAGTCTTCCTACCTCAGTTTCCAAATACTGAGATTACAGGCATGCACTACCATGACTATTTTAGGTTCCTTTATTAACATCTAGAATTCAATTCCTGGTTCTTTTGTTTTTTACACTTAAATAGTGTCTCACTATGCAGCCCAAGCTGGTCTTGAGCTTGACACTCTGCTGCCTCAACCACCAGAATGGCAGGACTGCAGGCATGGGCTACTGCTCCCAGCTGCAAATGCATCATGGAACTTCTCTCTTTACAGAAGAAGGAGGAACCCTAGCCTGGGCTGTCAAGACTCTTGTACCCCAGAATTCTGTAGCTATCAGTTGTTTCAAAAGCTTAGTCACAATAAATTATTTAAGCTATATCAGAGAGGTTGAGTTTTAAATTTTGTTTGTGTTGGTTATTGTTGTTGTTGTTGTACTTTTTCCCTGGAAGTGTTAAGTATATTTTTGGAGAAGTAATTATATGAGCTATCCCAGACACTCCAAAATTTTCTAGAGGCTTTAATTCCATGAGCAACATTAGGAGCTGCCTGTGAACTGTCCTTAGGTCATCTCTGAAGAAAGTTCCATGGAAGCTTTCAGAGGTGATGAGACAGGGGACTGGATCTGAGTCTCATTCATCCCCCCACTCATTCTTAAGTGCAGGGCTTTTCATTCATAGTCCTGAAGAGACACAGGGACGTCTCATTGTAACTGAGGGACTAACACTGAGAAAGCTGTGTCAGGAAGACATATGAGTGGCCAGCAACTTCAGAAGTAAACATTTTATGGTAGATGCCTAAGGCTATTTTTGGCCCCTGACCAGTAAAATTACTTAGACCAGCTGTTCTCAATCTGTGGGTCTCAACTGTTGGAAGACACGTATTCCATTAGTTTGAGGAACTGAGACACCGCCCAGTAGCAAAATTACAGTTAGGAAGTAACAACAAAAACAATATTATGCCCGGGAGGTGGTGGCACATGCCTTTAATCCCAGCACTCTGGAGGAAATCTCTGAGAGTTCGAGGTCAGCCTGGTCTACAAGAGCTAGTTCTAGGACAGGCTTCAAAGCTACTGAGAAACCCTGTCTTGAAAAACATATATAGGGATAGTGCTCTTGTACACTGTATATTATACACACACATAATGTTTGGAGGGGTCACCACAATGTGAGGAACTGTATTAAAGGACTGCAGCATTAGAAAGGCTGAGAACCTCTTACCTAGAACATGCAAATTAGATGCAAGTTAAAAAATAAATAAATACAGAAAACCTCTGCTACACTGAAGACTTCTCACCAGAGGGCACTGTGCCAACATCCCAAGCCATAGGTTTTCTTATACCTCTGCTTCTGCTGCAATCCGTAACTGAAACTGCCATGATTTTTGGTTACATAAGCCGATTTTATCTTTATTTTGGGTTTTACTCAAAGATCCTGAATAAACAGGGATTAATAAAACAATATTGCGTTTCTAAATACGAGTGGTTTTGATATGAGCTGCCAGTCACAGGTGCCTGCTGAGCATGAAATATTGATTATCTCCAGTAACTGGCAACCCTTGCCTGAAGGAACAGGCATGGACATAGAAAGTCAACCTCATGATAGAATGATAAGAAAATAAACGTGCTTTGTAAGAGTAAGGAGTGGCAGAAGTCTTTTCATTTTAATTCTTACTCAGAACCATCCAATAATCTGAGTATGGTAGCTCAAGTCTATAATCCCAGCCTTGGGATGTGGAGGCAGAAGGATCAGGAATTCAAGTGTACCCTTGGCCATTCATGAACAACCTAGCTCAGTCTAAGATTAAGGTCAACCTAGGCTACGTGAGACCCAATCTCAAAACAACAGCAACAGGGGCCGGGGAGAGCGTAGCCATCAAAGTGTCAACTCTGTAACCATGGGGACCTGAGTTCAGCTCTCTAGTACCTATGGAAAAGTTCAGTGTAGTGGTGCATGCCCGTGACTCTAGAGCTGGGTGACAGGGAACAGAGACAGGTAGCTCTCCGGAGCTTGCTGGGCCAGCCAACCTAGCTAATCAGTGAGCTCTGCGCTCAGTGAGACACCCTGTCTAATCAAGGAGCACTGAAGGAAAGTACCCATTGTTGACCTCTGACCTTTACACAAATTTGCACAAGAAGCCAGAACCACACACAACACATACACAATTTAAAACAACAAACCAACCAATTTCTGTGTCATCCCTGCTATCTCATGTGTGCAAAATGCTCACCAATTGACTGTGGACCAAGGACGGACACTCTGCACCTGCCACTGCCCAAAGAGACGTTACGACGGCAGGGGTGCTTGTGGATGTGCACAAAATGATGCGATGTACCTCCCCACACAGGCTCCTGTGCTCTGTGGCTTAGGTCAGATTATATTTAGTTCTCATTTTGAGTCATTAACCATTTTATTGGGTCTATTATCCAAAGATGTGCCAAGTCTCCTTACCATTCTACACGCCAGGGAGATACAGGATTAAGAGAAAGCAACGTGGCACAGACAGAGGAAGCAGCGGGGAGACAAAGCTGTCAGATGCCTTGTGTGCAGTGGAAAATATCTAACACTCTTATTTCCCACTTCATCCTCAATAAGAGATGAACAAGAACCATTTCTACTTTATTTGGACTGTTGGAGGCAAGGGGGCAAAAAAACAAAAAAAAAACAAAACCCAACAACAACAACAAAAACACATAAGGCACAGAACTGGGCTAATGAAGCCCACAGGAAGCACAGAATGACCATTCCTCCTAGAACTCTCCAGCCCCCTCAAAACCTCTGTCCATCAGAAGCAGCCTGCTGAATCCCATCCCAACTCTGATCCCCTGCATAGCGGGGGTGGAATCTTATTCTTCACCAGCTTGTTTGAAGTTTAGATTTGGTGCCCATTGTATTCTTTGGGGGGGGGTCAAATGCCCCTTTGACAAGGATCACCTCAGACCATCAGAAAACACGATATTTACATTATGATTCATAACAGTAGAAAATTAGTTATGAAGTGGCAGCAAAAATATTTTTACATCCCAGCACTCAGGAGGCAGAGGCAGGTGGGTCTCTGTGAGTTTGAGGCCAGCCTTGTCTACAGGAGCTAGTTCCAGGACAGGCCCCAAAAGCTACAAAGAAACCCTGTCTTGAAAAACAAAACAAAAAAAAATAATAATATTTTTACAGTTGTGGGTCACCACAACACGAAGAACTGTGTTAAAGGATGCAGCATTGGGAAAGTTGAGAACCACTGGTTTATATCAACTTGACACAAGCTAGAGTCACCGAGTAGAAGAGGGAACCTCTACTGATGAATTGCCTTCATCAAGTTAGCCTGCGAGCATGTCTGTGGGTCATTTTCTTGATTAATGATGGCTGTGAGGGGCCCAGCCCACTGTGGGCAGCACTACCCGTGAGAAGGTTGTCCGAGTCGTGAGTTGTATAAGAAAGCAGGCTGAGCAGACTGTGAGGAGCAAGCCAGGAAGCAGCATTTTTTTTCGTGGTCTCTGCTTCAATCCCTGCCTAAGGTTTCTACTTGGCTTCCTGCCCTGACTCTCCTCAGTGATGGAGCGCAAGCTGAAGCTGGAAGGTGAAATAAACCCTTACCTCCCTGAGCTGGTCTTCGGTCAGTGGTTATCATGGCAACAGACAGCAGACTAGGGCAGGAACTGGAAACGGAGCAAGTGATGTTGCTCTAACCAACCTGACCATGATTGTTTGGCGGGGGATGAAGGCAGCGTTTGGGGCTTTGGGCTGCAAAAGCCATCTAGTGCTGAGGACTTAATGAGCTGTTGTGGGAATTTGGAAGATAGTTTTAGAAGAAATGCTGATGATAGGGGCCTGGTTTGTATGTTTCCGAAGGAAGTAAAGACTCTGGCATGGCTGTTCGTGTGGTATTTTGGATTAAAGTCAATGAAAGTGAAACTTCTGCTTTACCCCACCGACTGTCCCAACAGGCAGTGCTGGTTTCCTGGGGTTGGAGAATCAGCTACAATTAACAAGAGACCAGCATCGCCGAGCTGAACTGTGGGAGGTATATTCTCAGGGTCATCACACAGATGCTGTGGTCCAGGGGTGGCCATTACTCTATCTCAAACTGGCAGCAGACTTGGTAACGTGTAAGAGTCACATGTAGCACTAGAGTTGGTTTCTGTGGCATGGAAGCAGAAGGGCTGAAGAGGTCATGGTGAGAGGCAGGGCCTTGATACTGTGAGAGGCCAGGAGGTCAGAGGTGAAAGGGCAACTTCAGCTGCAGTGGAGATCCACACATACTGAAGATGCCAAGATAGTGGGACAACCTCTGAGGTTAGCAGCAGCTATGGGGGGGAGACAGCCTGAACCTATGAGAGAAGTTATGTGTGCAGTGAACAGCAAAGTCCGAGAGGTAAAGTTACCCAAAAGCTGTGGAGCCCAGAAGGTCTTGACTGAGTCACAGATGAGGGGCATTGAGGTACATGATTTCATTAACACTATTGGATGTTGGTTTTGCTTTGCTTTGATTGTAACTGTGCTCTGGTTCGTTCTTAGAATAAGATGTATTTATTATTATTTTATAAGAACCCTTGGAGAGTTGAGAGACCTTGGATTTTTTTTTTAAAGACAGAGTAGTTTTTTTTAATGAACTTAAAGTATTTGGATTGTTTAGAGGCTGTGGTGTTTTTAAAGTTGCAGTAGGTTTTATTTTGTGATGTTAATATGAACATGACCCCTTGGGTACAAACATAAAGGAAAGGTTACGGTTTAATAATGACATGTTTGTGCATCAAGTTGACAAGGGGTCTAATATGTTTTTGCTTGGTTTGTCAATTATCGAAGGCTTGAATCTCCTAGGAAGAGGGAACAATCTCAACTGAGAAATCGCCTCCATCAGATTGACCTGTAAGCACATCTGTGGGGTATTTTATGATTGGTGTGGGAGGACCCAGTCCATTGTGGGCAGTGCCATCCATGAGCAAGTGATTCTGGGTTGTATTAAAAAACAAACAAGCAACAAAACAGACTGAGTAAGCCCTGGGGAACAACCCAGTAAGCAGCATGCTCCATGGTCTCTGCTTCAGTACCTGCCTTCACGTTCCTTGTCGAGTCCATGCCCTGACTTCCCTCCACGATGGACTATGGTTTGGAGGTATGAGCTAAATAAATCAATGCCCTCACCACCAAGTTGGCTTCAGTCAGTGTTTTATCACTAGAAAGTAGACTAGAACAAAATGCCTTCTGCCCTGACCTGCAGGAATCCATGTCTCACCCATTCACGTGGTCACTCGATGGGGCAGCCAGTTATGAGGGCTCGGAAGCCTGGCAGAACAGCAATGGCTGTTTCAGCACTGCGCCCAGTTTGTGAGCCCCTAAGTCACTGATGCTGCCTGTGGAGCTTCCCATGAGTCCCCGAGTTTGGAGAGGGAGATGAACTCACCATGGAAGTTGGTGGAGAACTGTGATCTACAGCATTGGCAACAAAGATGGCATTCACATAGGCTCTGAAGCACACGTATGACATTAGTAGGCATTAGCACAGGCTCTGACGCACATGCACACATTAGTAGGCATTTGTAGAATGTTAGCATTCCAAGGAAGTAGGCAGTAGATAAAAATCCTTATAGCATAGTGACAAATGGGAACACAGGATTGCACATCAGAATTTTGCTGGGTTTACCCAGATGTGAGCAGGCAGATCACAGACAAGATGCTGGGCTCTTAGCCTTCTTATCTAGTGCATCCATGGTATGAGGCACCGGGAGGTGAGTGTCGATTCAGAAAGCTGCTTGGTTTGGATGAAGACCTTGCTATGGTTCAATTATGTCCGCCCTAAAAGAGCTGCATTAGAGACCTAGTCACTGCACCTCTTTGGAAAGGGTCCAGTTGAAATAAGGCCAGTAGTGGTGGGGGAGTCCTAATTATACAGTGTTCTCTCCAGGGACTTCTGGACACAGAACGTGAGTTGGTAAGGTGTTGATTTCCCTGGAACTCCTGGTGCCCCTAGGAGTCAGCAGCCAAGCTATGCTGGAAGGATGGGTAAGTAAGTATTTGGAGTCTTGAATCTCAGAATTCAGGTTATTGTATCTCACAAAGAGGGGATGAGAGCATCACCACCCTGACCTGCCCCCTCCCTGAGTGTTTGGTGGTAGTCCTTCCCGTTACAGAAGATCGGATACTCTATCTTGGTGTGTTCTCTGTTAAAAGGGTAAATAGAAGGTTAATGTGGAAGTAATTAAGATCTTAACTCAAGTGCGTAGTTAAAAGATAATTGAAGAATAGACAAGGTCTCCAGGGACCCTGAGCCTCTGAAATGTTATTCAGATTCTAGACAGCCTGTCTTGAAACTCCTTGTAAGTTAAATCCTGTGTGCAAGGACTTAGAGAGTAAAGTACCTGGGACAGGGGGCTGCCTAGAAGCAGTCACCATCCATTCCCAGCCCGGGGCTGCTTCTCATTTGACTCCTCAATGGTGGTTTCAGGGAGGCATATTAATTCACTTTGGGCATCATATAGAAAATGTGCAGATTTTTTACTGGGCTGGGGCGGGGGGAGCAGGTACCGTGAGTAATAGATGAAGGGCAGACAGAGAAAGTTATTGGGAGTGAGGAGTGAGACGGAAAGGGAAATGGGTGGTGAAGCCAAACTTCCGTGGTGCGGGGGGGGGGGGGGGGGGGGGGGGGGGGGGGGGGGGGGGGCAGTTCATCACTCTGACCTGTGTGACATGGGACTGTTGTGTAAATTCTGTGGATGAGAACACAAGGGTCAGGGGACTTCCAGACAGGAAGGGAACACCCAAAAAGGCAGCAGCAATAGGTGTCTGACACCACAGTACTGAGGTGGTGAGCAGGGGGTGGAGGCGGGGGTGGGGCTTCATTTGTGAGGCCCTCAAACTCCTGAGTGCACGTGACCGCACTCACTACACGGGCAGTGCTCAGTGCCTGCTTGGGAACAAGGGTCTGGTGTCATTCTGGGAAGAGAAATAGGAGGTCTCCTTAATGGTGTTACTGCACGTGGGCACACCAGTTACGTATGTGCATTTATGTTCATATCATTTATATCAGTAATTAAATCTGTATTGAATCTATCATTTATATTAATTATATATATTAATATTAATTAATTGTAGCTTCAATCATCTATGCTTATGTCTATCATTGCAGACATGTGTGTATACAATTTTTTTTGAGACAGGAAGACAAAGTCTAAGTATGCTGTCTGTGCTGGATTCAAATCCCAAGACTCAACTGAGACTTCTCACTCAGCCTTCTGCAAAGGAGGCTCCAAGCAGGCTAGCTATGTATGTATGCATGTATATGTGTATATATATGCATGTGCTTTATTTATTGGTTTGGTAGTGGTTGGGAGTGAGTCACAGACTACTGCACAATTAAGCATTCTACCACTGAGACACATCCCATGCCTGTGTTTTGTTTGTTTGTTGAAACAGACTCTCGTGTAACACCAGCTTGTCATGCGCTTGCTAGTTGGCAAGGGTGACTTTAAAGTCCTCCTCCTCCTGACTCAACTCACACCACCACACTGAACTCCACACCTGTCAAATGAGGAAGCAGCCACAGAGAAACCACTGCTGCACTGTGTTCGAGTCAGAAGTGGAACAAAGGCTGGGCTGTGTTCCACCCATGCAAGAGCTCTGTGGACTCGTCTCTTTGCTCCTCTCTTTAGGGAGACTGAATTAGTGGCAAAGTGCCATACACTGGGTGGCTTTGGACAATAATCACATTCTCTTTCCAGTGCCGGAGGCCAGACTTCTGGGACCAAACTGAAGGCTAGGTCTTGCTGCCCTTGGATGCTCAGGAGAAGGACCTACTGGGCCTCACTCCTGCCAAGTGTTCTGTGGCAGGTGCCAGCAGGATTGCTATCTTCATAGGACACGCCCTCTGTCCCCAGATGTTCAGCAACCAGATACCCACCACATGCCGAGCCCAGATTCCCAGGTGGAGGTGCCAACAGGCACCAGCCGCATTTTAATAAGCAGTGTGTTCTATTGTAGCACAAACCCACAGATTGGTTACATTTTCATGAAAAGTGGTTCATTTAGAGTCACAGTTCTTGTCAGATCTGGAGTTGCATCAGACAATGGCTTCTAAGTGGCAATGTGCCCAGGCAGCTCAAGGGACCACTTGGTAAGAAGCAGGAAGTGTCCTCTGTTTCCTGAAACTTTCAAAGGCCAGCAGTGTTGGGAGCAGTGAGACCCCAGATCCTGAATTTCTTGTAAACAACTTGTTTTTCCCGGATCTGAGTGCCTACAGCTGCTCTGGGCACGAGACCTTCAGGAGTTCCTGATGGCAGGAGAGTGGTTTCTGGTGGGTTTGGCTGGGGCATGGCTATCTCTATATAATCTGCCCCTGAACACAATAAAGGGAACACTCTTGGGGCTTTGATATCAGTGTTAAAAGGTCTGTATGTGGCTGTCTGTCTTTCCTTCTGTCTGTATTCTCAACCTCCAGCCCCTTGCCCGAAGCTCGCGAACTGGGTTCTAGCACACACAGCGCAGACATGGGGCACGGTGCGCGGCACAGCAGGACACAATCAGAAGCCCACTTTGACCACATTCTAATCCCAGTCACTCCCTGAAAGCCTTGTCTCGATGCTCCAGAATATAAGTTTAAGTTTCGATTTCTACCCTCTGAGCACCTCCTGATGCAGAGTTAAATAAAGCACAGGCTCCTTGGGGACACCCAGACCACATCCAAACCACAGCAAAAGGAAGTGAGAACCAGAAACAGGTAGTGTTCCCATAGAGTCCTCTGGACTGGGTGCCATGGAACAGAACCTGTTGCTTCAGACATGGTCACACTCCATCTTTCATAAACCCACATCCCCCCTACATGCTCCCTCCCACAGACACCCCTACACACACACGCTCACCCTCCCACACCCTTGAACAACACACATCCCCTAACACTCTAATGTCATTACATACACAGTCACACACTTAAGAACATCTTCAGCAGATTCGTCGCAATGCCCGGCAAAATCCTTCAAAGACCTCGAAAGAACGGTATTCAACTTCATATGGAAAAGCAAAAGAACCGGGACAGCCAAAACAATTCTGCACAATAAAAGAACTTCTGGAGGCATCACAATCCCTGACTTCAAACTCTACTACAAAGCTTCAGTACTGAAAACAGCCTGGTATTGGCATAAGAACAGACAGGAGGACCAATGGAACTGAATAGAAGACCCAGATATTAATCCACACATCTTTAAACACCTGATCTTTGAGAAAGAAGCAAAAAAAATTTTTTTGACAAGAAGCAAAAGGAGTAAAGACCTAAACAGAGAACTCTCAACAGAGGAATCTAAAATGGCTGAAAGACACGTAAGGAAATGTTCAACATCCTTAGTCATCAGAGAAATGCAAATCAAAACAACTCTTACACCTGTAAGAATGGCCAATATCAAAAACATTGATGACAACTTATGCTAGAGAGGATGTGGGGTAAAGGGAACATTCCTGCATTGCTGGTGGGAGTGCAAGCTGGTACAACCCCTTTGGATGTCAGTGTGGCGATTTCTCAAAAAATTAGGAAACAACCTTCCTCAAGACCCAGCAATACCACTTTGGGTATATATCCAAAGGATGCTCAACTGTGCCACAAGGACATGTTCATAGCAGCTTTGTTTGTCATAGCCAGAACCTGGAAACAACTTGAATGATGGATAAGGAAAATGTGGTACATTTACACAATGGAGTACTACACAGTAGAAAAAATAACGACATCTTGAATTTTGCAGGAAAATGGATGGAGCTAGAAAACATTATTTTGAATGAGGTAACCCAGACACAGACAATTATCACATGTACTCACTCATAGGTGGTTCTTAAACATAAAGCAAAGAAAGCCAGCCTACAAACCACAATCCCAGAGAACTTAGACAAGAATGAGAACACTGAGAGAGACTTACATAGATATAATCTACATGGGAAGTAGAAAGTAGAAAAAGACAAGTTCTCCTGAGTAAAATGGAAACATCTGGGACCTTGGGGGAGGATTGAAGGGAGGAAGGGAGAGGCAGGTAGGGGAGCAGAGAAAAATATAAAATAGAATATCTTCAAACACAAGCTCAAAATCTCAGCTATATACAGTACCCCAAAATCGTACAGTATCCCCAAAATCTCAGCTATGTATCCAGGCTCACTGTCACACAACACCCTCCTTTCTGAGTGGATCATCTTGCCATCTGGAGCTTTCCTCACGGGGCTCCAGCTTTGCTCTGAAATCCGCCAGCTCATCTGTTTAGTGAGCGCTCTGGCTGGTATTTTCAGGACTTGGGTCCTTCTGTGGGAAGCTCTTGGGCTTCTGTGCCCAGGTTTCCCTATGACCTAACACGCGGTTTCCATTCTCAGACACTTCTCCAGAGGGACTTACCAGCTCACTGGGATGTTGGGAAGCCTTCCGTAGGCAGCGCCTTGCAGCAGCCTGAAGTGCTTCCTGAATACCACTTTCACCTTAGGATGAAGCAGAGGAGCCCCTAAGGGCACCAGAAGAGACCCCTTCACTTTCTGCCTACTCTCCAGGGTTAGACATCATCATAGGATCCTAGAGGCAAATGAGATTGTCACTTAAAGGCCGGTGCCTTGCTCCACAGCCCTGCCACTTCCATGGCCTTCCCTGGGTCTTGTCGCAATCCCCTAATGGGTCTGACAAGCCGAGTTCAAGAATATCTCTCTGGAAAAAAAAAAAAAAAAAGAATATCTCTCTGGATTTTGTCTCTTGTGACCAGGTTGTTGGGGAATATTATCTTAAGGTGTGTGACTTTTGTTTACGCTGCATTTGTTTAACTCTGTGAAGCTGTGGTTCGTTGCCTGTCTAAAACACCTGATGGTCTAATAAAGAGCTGAATGCCCAATAGCGGGGCAGGAGCAAGGATAGGCGGTGCTGGCAGGCAGAGTATAAACAGGAGGAAAACTCTGGGAGGAAAGAGAACAATGAGAAAGCAAGAAGAGGAGGACAATAGGTCCCAGCACCCAGCCAGCCAGGGAATATGAGAAGGTAAGACGTACAAAGTAAAAAAAG